ACTGGGTGCTGGTGAGGGATTCGTTGATGCCAGGGCTTGCTCTATGAACAGCTCTTTCTTTGAATCTTCCTTTTTAATTGGAGTCGGATGCTTTGGACGATTCCTAATATCATCATTGGTGTTGTGGGTCAGGGAAAGTGGAGGTGGTTTTGCAGGTGGCAGCTTTTTGTAGAGCGCTGTTTCTCCAAGTTCCACTGAATCAGTCTGAAAGCTAGTTAGGCTATCAACTTCATCGTAAGTGTGCTCATCCACTTCACTAACTTGACTCACGTTCGATCTTATTGGACTGAATACAGAGCTAGTGATGCTGTTTAGAGAGGCCATGTCATCCAATGATGACTTCACATAGCTGTGCCTTGAGCCATGCTTTCGTTCTGAACTCCCTCGACTGCTAAAACCAGTGTAGGACCTTGGTACTAGGTTAAGTATCTTGTTGCGCATTTCCCTCTGGAGTGGCAGGAACACAGCTACTGTTGGGAGCTTGACTTCAATCTTCCTGCTGGTTACAATACCTTCTTTCGTTTGAGAGATCCTCTCGTTGATATTTCTAACTTGCTCTTCCTTCTTGGAGTCAAGCTCCTCAATGAGATCTCTCTTCCATTGTCTCATGGAGACCTTTACTGTCTCAAATGATTCCAGATATCCCTCTGACTGCTTGTAGCTTTCCTCAAAGTTAGCCTTGTAGCAGGTAAGGAGTCGGTCAAAGTGTTCTGCTCTAGCTCTGAGCTCTTTGAGTCGCTGCAGCATCTTGAGAGCCTCCTTCTCTTTCTCTTTGACAAAAGCCTTGTAAGAGATCAATGAATCTTGGTGCTGGCTATGTCTGTGGCCGTCACTGCTCTGCACGCAAATAAAACAAAGCAGGGCCCGACACTCTTGGCAGTATTTGTGCACAGACTCTCCGGGGTGAATAGAGCAGCCTATGCTGCTGTAGCCATCTTGTTTGGGCCCATCCATTCTTAAGGAGAAATCCTTTGCAGGCTTTTAGTGACGAGACGGGCGGCTACTGGAGGAGAGAAAACAATCCTACGACAAAATTCCCTTGGCTTTATAAATAAAATCAAGGAAACGTTTTGCATAGTCAGCCATTTCATAAAAGGAAAGCACCTTTAAAACTGCACTGCGCACTGAATAGATTTAATTTGATATTCCCCCGGCCCACAAAAAATGTCTCGGCAGCCAGAGAGCTCTCAACCGCCGAGTCTTGCCGAGCTGCTTAGAGCACTGAAGGACACCAGAGCTGACAAAACCTACCTTTTGGTGTTGATGGGACTCGAACTGGACACAGTTAGAAAAATGGAGATACAAAACTGTCGCCAGGAAGACAGGACTTTCATGGAATGCCTTGACTATTACCTCAAGAATTGTGCCAGGCCTGGGCAAGAATGGGAACAGATCGTGAAGGCTCTCATTGATAGCAAGGACCCACAAACTGCAGAAGAAATAAGAAGAACTTACCGTAAGTAGACTATGCATGCAATAAAATAAAATTAATGTCAACACTGCAGTCTATAGTCTAATAGAATAATTTTTGGCCAAAATTAATTTAAACTATATTTTTATAGCATTATTAAAATTATTTTTTTCATTACAATAGTATCATCATCTCAAACTCTTGAGCCAAATGATTCAACAGCTACAATCACTTCTGCAGCACCAGCCAGTAGCGTAGAGACAGACGAAGTAGATCAGTCATATCTAATGTTTGAACCTCCTTCACAACCACATCCTCCTCTCCTGCAACTGGACTCTACAGAAACCGATGAACTTATGGATTATCTAAAAAAAATGAAGACAATGACAAGAGCAAAATACAACGAAGCGAAGACAAACATTGAAGGTCGTTGGTACGACATAGAGAGCACGTTGGAAAGAGAGCATGATAATGCAACAAGAGAACTGAGTAACTACAAGCAGAGGGTGGAGAGGAGCTCTGATAAACTGGAGAGAAATATTCAAGAGCTAAAAGAGAAGACAACAGATCAACAAGCTGTTGTAAAGGATGCTATTAGCAAGCTCAAGCAAGGGGACAGCACTAGACTGGTAGCCATTAAAGAAACTTCAGATGAGATTTTAGAACTGGAAAAACTAACACACAGTTTAGAGAAGAACCTAGAGCGTTACAAGAGACATACTCCGAAACCATACATCAGCTCAGCAACAAAAGACACTGTGATACAAGACCTTCAAGAAATATTAAGTGTTGGGAGTACTACATGTTCCGAACTTGATGAGAGTGAGTACATGTATGAATGTAGCCTGTGGAAATGAGACCATTATTATTATTATTATTATTATTATTATTATTGTGTTTGTACCTTGTCTTGTGCTGATTGTATGTAGTTCATTTGTTTACTAAAAGTGTATTCTATAATAACTTATCATAGATTCATAGTGACCAAATGAGAAGAGGCTAAAGTTCAAAGTGGAGGGTATAGCAGGATTGTAAATCATTCATTGAGAAATACTCATTGTTGTCACAATAATGATAGGATAATACCTATTGATATCCTTTACCATTATTAGTAAATGATTTCTGCCACTATAATAATAAATTGATAATATTTAGCTAAAATCTGATGCTATGTTACAGCAGAAAAAGGACAAGTATCTAATAAAACATAATAATAATATTATAAATATTATTACTGACAGAGAGAGAGGGAGACAAAATGACTTGGCTACAGCTACAAAATAAAACTGTATTTAAGAGAGAAAAGAAATAATAATAATAATATTACTGAGTGACAAAATTTGAAATAATAATTAATATTAATACTATTATATTTATTTATTATAATATTGAATACAAAAAGAGTTAATAGCTAAGAAGGCTGAGTGCTGCCATCACTGTTAAGAACAGCTGCTGTTATGTTCCGCTGCTGTTCCGTCAGCTCCTGACACTTTTCCTTCAGCTACAATCAAACAATAACAATAATAGCAATAATAGTAAATATGCAACAGTATAATTCAATTTGAAGGGACTAAAACAAGCAGCCATATAACTGACACAGCTACACTGCAGTAGTACCCACGTCACATGTGCCATCAATCATCAGGTGGCAGTTGTAGAAGTGTTAAACGTAAACATGTGAAGGGACAGTACTTTAACTTACAAAAATATGCCAATTATTTAGGAGTAACGGTTCCAGAAAAAGAACACACACAAACACCACTACAGAACATTAATTTTACTACTGACACACACATACACACAGATGCATTAATAAATAATGTAAACAGTGATACTGCACCTGGCTATTCATAAGTACTAAGTTCAACTCTAACAGTATAGACAGGTACACATTGCAAATACATTACACACAATAACAGTACAGCACAGCACTAATAGTACAGTAGAGTAGGTGTAGTAAATAGAAGCAGGGGCGTATCTAAGCTCTGAGTATTGGCTGGGCACTGAGAAAAAATATGCGGCGCGCGAAGCGCGCCGCGAAATTTTTTAGAGCTAATTAATATTCATGATGGGCGTGGTCAATTAAATACTACGATTATTACTTTAATTAATTTTTATTTTTATTCAATTTAATTGTAATTTTACAGAATGCCTAGAACAATAAAAATAAGTACAGTACAGAGAGAAAGAGAGGACAGAGGAAGCATTCTGAAGGGTTACCAACAAGAACTGCTGGCACCCGGAAAACAGAAGAAACAAAAGAAAAGAGAAAATAAGATAAATAGATAAATAAATGGACAGATAAAATATAAGAATTAATAATCAACAAAAAAATGAATGAATGGATAGTGATATTAAGCTAAGATGTGCACTTCAGTGCTTATATTTTCTTCATTAGTAGTAGTACTGGCCTTGGGAAGACATTCAAACAGACTCAGCAGAGTTTCTTAGCCATTTTCAACTCGATTACTTTAATAATTAATGTGAATAGTCTAATAACTGATTGGTTAGTAGTAGTTATTATTTTAAAAATGGCAGCCCAATTGCCCAAATGGAGCTATGGAAGTCTCTACCATGTCATCATTATATTTACACTGGCTAAAACTATTAGCTATGCTAGTCTTGTCTCATTGCTATCATGATAAAGTGAGCAATATTTTTAAAAGGACTAATATACAAAAGAAAAAAATTTTTTGGTCTGCTGAGTTGGTCGGGCACAGGCCCACCCAGGCCCACCCTTAGATACGCCCCTGAATAGAAGCTCCTCATTTGTAGAGGTGTGCCAATTAATAATGATTTAATTAATGATCCACAACTAATAATGGGTACAGTCAATCAGTGACAGCAAGAGTAGATAATAATTAGAGGAGAGTGTCCTACTGTGCCTATACCCCCTGCTTCATCACCGCGTAGAATTGAAGAGTCACATTCAGGATATTTTCAGTATTCTTGAGTAGTTATTCAAAAATAACTAGCAATAACTACTCAAACTCAATGAAAATACTGAAGTATCCTGAATGTGACTCTTCAATTCTACGGCGTGATGAAGCAGGGGGTATATAGGCACAGTCAGGGGCGGAGCTGGAACTAAACTGATGCCCGGGCCCGGATGTGGGTGTGTCCAGTTTCTAACTTTTTCTTTGGGTATTTTACTTGAAAAGTGCTTGCTAATTACTTTTATGCACCTGTATGCACTTGTTAGTACTCTGGTGAGGCTTGTGGTTTGCCTTATCTAAACTTTAGGCAAGGAATTGTTTACATTGCATCTAATGAATCTCATTACAGAGCTTTGATGCCCGGGCCTAGGCCCGTGTAGGCCCGGGTTCAGCTCCGCCACTGGGCACAGTAGGACACTCTCCTCTAATTATTATCTACTCTTGCTGTCACTGATAATCTCACCAGTTTTATTAATATTTGCAGCTGCCGTGATCGCTCAAACTCACTCTCCTACACAATAAATGACAATGAAATGAGTAGCAGCTGGTAGCATACCTGTGGCTTCATACGAGGATTCCATCTCATATAATAACCAGACCATAACTTTAATATCCTTATACTGGTACGTGGGAACAGGACCTGAGGGGAGAGAGAGAGAGAGAGAGAGGAATAAAAATGATATAATATTTACAATTATTCACTTTATTGTTCATTGTAGTATGGTGCGTGGGCGGATCAAAGGCGCCTCCAGTGCTACAACTTCCAATAACCGCACGGTAGGAAAATGTAGCACTGTGTGGAATATGTAGTACTGTGCAGTATAATATGTATGGGCTTTCCTGTTAACCACAAGCTTTGATAGAGGCAAATCACAGCCTTAGCTACATACACTAGACATGTAACAATAATAATAGTGATAAATGAGATCCAATTGTCTTGTGCTGGCCACCTGCGCGACTTTTGAAATTTCATTTGATCCACCCACGCACCACTACAAACCAATCAAAGCACTGTTGATTCGTAGATTACGGAAATTATTGCACTCGGGACGGTCTCGACGAAAATGTAGCACTCGGCTTCGCCTCGTGCTACATTTTCCTCTCGACAGCCCCTTGTGCTACATTTTCCTCTCGACCGCCCCTCGTGCAATAATTTCCGTAACCTACTCTCAACAGTCAACAGTGCTTTAACTAATACTTAGTTCAGCATATAAAGGATTCTTATAGACATCAATCTATAAAAATAAATAAATAAATGAATGAATGACTAGCACCACAGTGTCTCCTGTACCTGACTGTTGACAAAACTCCATAGTGACACTGTCTTATCTCTGTCTTATCATGTCTCTGCTGATAATGATATTGCTGATAGTATCATTACATTGACTTTAGATTATGATGATCTAAATGAGATTAAGAGTTTAACATCACTAGCCACTGATACATCAAGTACTTTCTTAACAGCAAGATCAAGTTTCTTTACGGATACAAGCAGCAACATGTTAGTAAATGCGACTGGTCTACCTCCTTCAAGTTTTTCAGGTGATGTCACTCTTCCAGTTCTTGTCTCCTTCAGTCTTGATCTAAGAGCTAGTGGACAGCTGGCTCTTAATTTCTCTGAGGCAGTTCGCTACACTGCCAGTCTCCAGAGCACCATCATGCTACAGAACAGAGTCACCAATCCTACGGTAGTCCTCGGTCTTAATTCAGGAGAGGCTGCAACAAAGACAAGGCTTGACGAGGTGACGATAACCCTCTCCAGTTCTCACACGAATCAACTACTAACTGATCCTGATATAGCAGAGACTACTAGTGCCCTCTACATATCAATGACTCCTGGAGGAATATATGACTACAGCAATGGACAGGGACAGACTATAGCATCACTCACTCAAAAAGCAACTTCTCTTTGTAAGTATATTAGACTGTTACTGTTAACTTGTATTTTATTGTTACTCATTTCCTTGTTTTATTTTAGATCGTACATGTTTTGATGCTAATACGTACAACAATGCTAGTCTTGGCACATGTGAGACTTGTTCTCCATCTTGTGTTGGAGGCTGCACTGGGTCAAGAACAATAGCTGGTCCTGGTGGCTGTAGCCAGTGCAGTGTTATTGAACTGGACACTAATGGAGATCAGGTACTACTAGTGGGCAGCAGAGCACCAGTTTGTACTAGCAAGTTTTGATGAAAGTCCCTCTACTGTATGTAGTACAGGGACCTTGGGCTGATTATTGAGAAACTTAAAAAATTCATTAAAAATCCAAACTTGATCAGAATCAGCTCAAACTTTCTGCACAACATACAAACATGTATATGTATCAGAAAAAATTATAAAAATTAAGAATTCTCTACTTTTTATTTTTGGTGAAATTTTGCCAAAACCCTTGTACTACAGTACAGGGACTTTGGTCCAATTTTTGAGAAACTTTAAAAATTTATAAAAAGTCCAAACTTGATTGAAATGAGTTCAAACTTTCTACACAGCCTAAGTAGATCTACATGTTGTGTTTTCTTTAATATTTCTCTCCTGTGTAGGTCACTTGTCTTCCCACTGGTTCACAGTGCCCCATTGATTATTACAGTGACACCAGTACATCATTCGTTGGACTCAGTTCAGGCGGTCAACTGTGTCGTCCGTGTCATGAAACATGTGCAACATGTAACAATGGAGGAGAGAACTCCTGCACTTCCTGTCAGTCGGCATTCATTGTCAATAGTTTCGGTAGTTTATCTCGATGTGCAATGTCCTGTGGCTCTAATGTCACTGATTGCTTCTACTGTCATATTGAGTGTAATGGTTGCACTGGCTCTACTAATCGTGACTGTGTGTCCTGTAAAGGTTTAATGAGGACTAATTCACAAGGTCAAAGGGTCTGTGCTCCTAGTTGCAATTCTAATCAATACCTCTCAGAGAAGAATGGAGAGTTCTTCTGCTTTGATTGTCATCCCCAGTGCTCCGGTTGCACAGGCCCTGCTAACACTCAGTGCAGTCACTGCAGGAATGTCAACAATACCTTTACTAGTGAGA